ATTTAAATATAGAATTGGTTTTGGAAATGTAATAATTTAATTTTCCGCAAAATTACTAAGTGCAACAAAATTAGTTATTGGGTTAAGGGATAGAGCTGGAATCCCGGAATTGGATATTGAGGGCTCTGTTGGTATCTGGGATTGAGGTATGGAGGTGGTTGTGAAAATATGTACGAAAATTACTAAATTGTACTTAATTTGATATTGTGTGAAGGAATGAAGCTAAAATTTGATATAGAAGTCACTATTGGGGTCTGTGGTGCAGGTATCGAGGTGATTTATTAGATTTTTAACAAAATAATTGGTATGAATGTTTGTATATATGTATGTCAATATGTCTATAATGTTATTTATTCCGCCCTACTGGATTAAAATTAATTATACCCTACACCACAAGGTGGTCAGGGTATGATGTCTTTGTGCATTTGTTTGTAACAGGCAAAAGGAAACGAGATAGACCCATAGTTCCTTTTGATGATCTGCATATAATCACTTTCTGAGTTGATTTATGCATGTCAGTCCGTCCGTCCGTCCGTCTGTCCATGTAATCTTGTGAACAAAATGCAGGTCGCATTTATTATCCGATTGAGATGAAATTTTGCACAAATCATTTGTTTGGTCCAAGGACGAACCCTATTGAAATTGATAAAAATTTAGATATAGCTCCCATATATATCTTCGTCCGATTTGCCTTTTATTGTGCACCAAACGTGTAATATCAGCCCGAATATTATGGAATTTTGCACATACAACCAAATTAGGCCTGAAAATAAGTATGCCAAATTTGATCGAAATCGGTTCAGATATAGCTATAGCTCCCATATATATTGTTCATCCGATTTGTTATTTCTCTCCCCCGCAGCCGTAATATGCACTCTGTAACAACAATATTTGGGGAATATATCAAATGCAGCTCAGAAACATCTCCCATATATAACTTCGTCCGATTTAACTTAATTTAATTTAATGGGATGGAATTTGGCACATACGACCGAATTTAGTCTTGAAGCTAGTATGTCAAATTTGGTGAAGATGGGTTCAGATATAGCTATAGCTGCCATATATGCTGTTCATCCGATTTGTTATATTTGTTACCCACAGCCGTAAGATGCACTCCGTAACAACGATATTCAGGGAAATATATCAAATATAGCTCAGAAATGTCTTTGCCAAATTTTATCCGGATCGGTTCAGATTTGGATATAGCTCCCATATATATCTGATTTCAAATTCATTTTGCACCAAATGGGCAATACAAGTCCGAATTTAAAAGATACAAATGCTTCGGCATATTTAGTCGTTTGAACTTTAAATTATAATTATAATCATAGCGTGTATGATTGAATTCTCCCAGAAAAAGTTTTAATTGTTATGCGGAGCTCTACTAAATTAGCAAAGTGGTGTAGGGTATCATAAAATCGGCCCCGTCCAATTTTAGGTCTTTCTTTAGTGGTTTTTATTTCCTCTCATTTTCCATTTACAAAATTCCGTAATTGGTAACAAGTTTAGATTATTGCCCTCCCTTGCAACTACAACTTCCCCATTTTATTATTTATAGCATTTTCTCATAAATCCCACGGCCATTATCCAAGCGGAAAAGAAATGTAACAAAAAGTAACAAATCTTGCAGAAAATCTCTTTTCGGTGGCATTAACAAAATTTTTAATGGCTCTGTAATAAATTTAACTATTCAAACCACCTCCTCCCAACTTTTGTTAAGCCGTCTGTGTTTTTACGTCAGAGGAGGACACCCTTTCCTTTCAAGTGATTTGTAATTAAGGCGACGAACTTTTTCTTTTTTGTTTATGTTAAAAAAGTTTTTTGGGAAAAAAAATTAAACCAAAATGTTTCAAAATTGTTTGTAACGCATTTGCACCTGTTCACCATTACATCAACGGATTAGAAACGTTTTGTAATTTTTTTTATGGCTTTGTTTTGATTAATGTCTTTTTAGCCCTGGGATGACGAAGGAAAACGGATTAATTTGTTTTACGAGTTCAAGTTTTATGACAACGATGACAATTACTTTTTAATAATTGAATCAATCTAGAAATGTCAAAAAAGGAGAAGAAAAGAATGTCAAAAAAGGAGAAGAGAAAAAATTATTTTCAGAAGTTTAAGAATCTGATCTCAAAGAATTATTTTTATTAGAAGACAACTGTAGATTGATGTTCGCTTTGATTTCCAATTCAGTCTCTATGAAATCCGACAAAAAGTCTGGATCAGAGGTCAAATCAAAATTGCTGCCCATCATCATTAGGCCTATAAAAATGCCATTATCATTTTGGAGGTTTTCCTCATCCTATTTGCAATTAAGGCCATAAAAATTTTCATTTTTTGTTGCCAACTGTTGTTGTTGTTGTTGTTGGTCGGAAAGCCATTATCCTCGGAACAAGCCATAAATAAAGACATCTTGTAATTAAAAATGGTGTAATTTTGGAAACAAGGCCATTTTAATTATAGCCATGTTAATGAATGTTACGGTTTTCAGTAGTGGGGTGGAACTTTTTTTATTTGCATGCCGGTAGTAAATTTTGGAAGCTATGAGGAATGGCGGGTTATGAGTTTAAGTTCTATGAACGGTTGTGATAATCGTGCTGATTTGGAAAGGCTTAAAAATTAAAGCAATTTTTTGCGAGAGTAGTTATATATTTTCCGCTTGTACACAGGCCATAAAGGCTTGAAACGTCGATATTTAATTTATTTTTTCAAAGACCAAATGAAACCCGAACATGGATCTGCAGGATTATTTTTACAAGTTCCAAACGTGGATTTATAAGAATATTTGTTCAAGGAGCAAATACCTTTCCAAATATTTTTTTCAAATATTTTTGTATTTTTCAAGGACCAATCATGATTTTTAAGAATAAGGACTAAACATAAAATCTGAGTATATTTTGTTAAAGGACCAATAGAATCACAAATGTGGATTTAAAGGATTTTTTTTCAGGAGCCAACACAATCACAATCATGTTTTTTTTTTAAATATTGTTCCAACCAAGGAGTACATGGATTTTTAAGAATTATTTTTCCAAGGACCAACTGAGGCATAAACGTGAATTTTTAAGGACTATTTTGTGCAAGGATCATTTAAGCCACAAATGTGATTTTTTTGGAAATGGTTTTTCTAATTTCATTCAAGCTAAAAAAGTGAATATTAAAGGAATATTTTTTCAAGAAACATTCATGTCCCAAACCTGGATTTATAGGGAAGGATCAAAACTTGGATTTTTAAGAATATTTTTTCAAGGATTATCCGAGCTACAAACTTGGGTTAAAAGGAATAAATTTTCAATATTATCAGAGCCACAAACATGGTTTTAAAAGGAATATATTTTAAAGGATTATCCGGGCCACAAACGTGGATTTTTAAGGAATATTTTTTAAGGATCATTCAAACCCCAAACACATTTTAAAAAATCCAACGTTGATGTTTAAGAAGGTTTATTCGAGGACTAAACGTGGGTTTTTATGAATATTTGTTTCATGTATGAGTCAGGTCAGAAACGTGGATTTTTAAGGAGGATTTTTTCAAGGATCATTCAACCAACAAACGTGGATTTTATGGCATCATTTTTCCTTGAATCATTCAAGGCACAAACGTGGTTTTTAGGGAATATTTTTCAAGAACCAAGAACCATTTAATACATTTCGTAAAGCTATAGTACACCCATTCAAAACAATTTCCATACCTCGATTCCAGATACCAACAGAGACCTCAATATCAAATTTGAGGATGCCAGCGCAATCCTTTCCCCAAAACAAAGTGTAGTACAATTTAGTACTTTTCGTACAAATACAGGATGAGATAAAAAAACTGCAACAAAGTCAAATGCCATAATTTTTACATTTTTTTAAGTTTTATTGAATGAAAGCAAAAATGTCGGAAATAGCATCAAATTTTAGAATTAGTTTAGATTTGTTCGAATTGGTCACCTTTGGCACGAATTACGGCCAATGAAACCGGCGTCACACTGCCCGAATATTGTTCTGCGGTATTTTTGCCCCTTCCCGGTGAAGCGCTTGCTTGAGGTGATCGACACTTTGGTATTTTTTAGTGACAACATTCCTTTCCGAAATACTCCAGACACAATAGTATCCGGAGATTTTGGTGGCCATTGTGCACTGGAAATGAAGCGAGGATGCCACGGCCGATTAATACGAGGGGAGAGCGACCATCGTCTTTTATGGCGGCCCACATCATCACCATGGCCGGCGCTTGAGTTCTGGAGGCCAACCGAAGGTGAAAATTTTCAACTGACCATTTTGGCAAGTAAACACGATAATTTTGGTTGTTTACAAACTGCTGGACAACGAATGTTTTCTCATCGGTGAAAACAAAATTCGGCAGAAGCGAAGCAACTCTTTAGCTCTTTTGAGTCTATTTTCTTTCTGTTGCGGGGTAAGTTCTTGCACTTTTTGGAAATTCAATGGATTTACCCCGTGCTAATTTTTCAATATTTGCCGAATGGAATATTGCGATATGTTAAGCGCACGAGCCATTTTCGGCGAATATTGACTGAGGGTATACATCTGTCGGCAAATAATTTTTAACTTGTTGATAGGAATTTTGATTTCTACAATTTCGATTTGAATAAGAATATACATTTCCTCTTGAAATACAAACTACTTTACCCCTCCCGATTTTTCCGACATTCCCCACATCCTCGGTATTCTTCAATAAGCTCCCCACCCTACACCCACTACAATATGGGAAGTCAAAACAAATATTGAATTTATAGCGTTATTCCAATACAATCTTCTCTTTCTTTAAAATAAACAAAGTGTGGCTTTTTTTCGGTGATAACATCTGTCATTTATTTATTTGTGATTTCTTTCTTTGTGTTGAAATTTTAATATTTAATCCGTACATATGTATGTGTGTGTGTTATTTATTCCTTTTGAACTTGTATTTCTATTCTGTTTGACATTTTTTAATTTTGAATTCTAATTGCGGCATGTTTTGTTTTCTTTTCACCCTCCTCCCTCTCCTCCACCAGGCAATCTATCAAGAGTAGTTTTCGTGACAAAGACAAACCGTCGCGTTTCAAGGACCTACAGACGACACGCTTCCAAGTCGAACCACAAAACGAGGACTCAGATGATTCCAATGAAGATCGTGAACTGTTGGATAATGAATATGACACAAAATATGGCAAAAGTTTTCGGTAAGCATAAACACAGAACAGAACAGAAGATGGAAATCTTTGGAAAATTAAAATTTCCCATTTTTCGTTTCTTTTTCTTTGCCATAGACATTTCACACGCGAAGCTTTGCCACGTCTGGATAATTATCGCAACATAATGTCAATACAGGCGGCATATCGACCCACTCTCGATGAACTGCATAATGCCACCCTAACGGGAAAGGTAAGTACCAAAGCAGCCACACAAAAGAAAAACAAAACACCAATACCATGACAAAAAGTATTGCCCGACATTACAAATTAATAGAATGGCTTCCTTGAACTGACGAGTGCAGGAAATTGGAAGTTTTTTGTATTTGTGTTATTTTTTTCTTCCTCTATTTCTGCGTTAATGAAAAAGTTCGTCGCTGAGAACAAACGAGACGTCATGTCAAAATGCCAATAAATAATGCTAAGTATAAAATCATGTTGCGTGTTCGGAAACAACAGCAAAAGACAATCGTCATCTGTGCAACACTTGATAATGATTTAAGTCCCAGCTTGGACATCATGAAGTCAGTTATTGTTGATTTTGTTGGAGTTTTTTCTTCCTTGTAAAAAGTTTTTTCCTTCTTTTTTGGCAAGTAATTTCGGATGGACTTACGGCTTTTTTTCGAAATGACCTTCGAAATCAAATAATGAAAGTTAATTTGGTTAATTACTTTTGACAAAGAAGATTATTTGTCGGAGATTTGGAAACAAATTATCTAAAATAGGGAGAAAAAACTTACGAAAATAGACTTATGTCAGAAGTATATATATTTGTGAATGAAGCGGGTTGGTGCAGCAAATTGTGTAACAATATTTGCGGCTCAGTTAGTTTTTGATACCATATTCTTAGTTCTTGATCGTATATTCCAAAACAAGTAATCAGGGGTTATAGCCGTGCCGGGTCGACCATGTGATACCCTACAACACTATAATGTGCTGGAAGCTCCCTTATGTCAAAATCCTCTTTTGGGAAGATTCCGTTTTGAAAGATGTCATAGAGCGCTGCTCAAATGTTACCCTTAGCTTTTGACCGGGGACATTTGCCCAACATTTACGTACTCCGTCGTATTGTTAGGTATTCAAAACAATTTCACCCAAAAGTTATGGTCCATTTTACAGCCAAATATAATCCAATGGTATTCCAAAATGCTAGATTTCTTCCCTGTCCTTAACTCTCTTCTCATGCAAAATTCTGGGTCAATTGTGACCTATAGAGCGACTGCAAAATCAAGATTTTTTTTGGTCTATTTGAACCCTTAAATGTATATCTTCAAAAACAAAAGGCTTTAATTCTGACCCTATCCCCATGCAATAATTTGCGATTTCTTAGATTTTATCCTTCTCTGGAAAGAGACTATTCCGAATTGAAACGAATTGTAAACATTAGCCCTTTTTGCATATATACAGGATGAGATGCAATAACTGCAACCAACTTCAGACTGCTGGCATATCTAAGCCACTCGTGCGACAGCTGTTAAAATTATTCCAGTGACAGCTCGTTATATTGTTTACAAGCGATAGTGTGATTTCTTTATATTTGGCTGGAAAACCACAAGTGGCTAGCGTTAGAGCACTCCAGTATTTAAATGTGAATAAATCTTTTGTGTCTCGTACCATCGCTCCTTACCGATTACATGATACTGGTAGCGTAGCCCGACGTCAAGGAAGTGGACAGAAGAAAACAGCAACATCAGCAGAAATGGTTCGAAAAGTAAAGAAGCGACTTGATCGAAACTCGCGCAGTCGCAGTGGCCGACACAATGGCTCGTGAGCTGAACCTATCGCAATATTCCATTCGGCAAATATTGAAAAATAGGCTCGGGTTAAAGCCAGTGAGATTCCAGAAAGTGCAAGAACTTACACCGCAACAGAAAGAAAAAAGACTCAAAAGATCTAAAGAGTTGCTTCGCTTGGCCGAAAGTGGTGAATAGCCAAATTTGGTTTTCTCCGTTTCCGATGAGAAAACTTTCGTTGTCCAGCAGTTTGTAAACAAACAAAATGATCGTGTTTACTTGCCTGATAGGTCAGCTGAAAATGTGCATCTTCGGTTGGCCACCAGAACTCAAGCGCCGGCCATGGTGATGATGTGGGCCGCCAAAACAGCCGATGGTCGCTCTCTGCTCGTACTAATCGATCGTGGCATCAGAATAAATACCGAATATTATCGCGAAAATATTAAAGCCTTGGGCACGCAAACATTTTGGCCGCAGGCCTGGGACATTCCAGCAGGAGTCAGCACGCGCCACCCAGGAATGCTTACAAACTGAGGTTCCTCGCTTCATCTCCAGCGCACAATGGCCACCAAAATCTCCGAATACGAATCCGTTGCACTATTGTGTCTGGAGTATTTTGGAAAATGAGGTTGGCAGTAAAAAAAACCAAAGTATCGATCACCTGAAGCAAGCGCTTCGTCGGTAATGGGCCAAAATACCGCAGAGCAACATTCGGGCAGCGTGTGACGGTTTCATTGGCCATAAATCGTGCCAAAAGTGACCAATCTAAACTTATTTTAAAATTTGATGCTATTTCCGATTTTTTTGCTTTCATTCAATAACATTTTAAAAAAAGTAAAAATTATGACGTTTGACTTTGTTGCAGTTTTTATACCCTCCACCTTGGAAAGGATGGTTTATTAACTTTGTCATTCCGTTTGTAACATCTTAAATATTCGTCGTAGACTCCATAAATTATATATATTCATAATCAGCATAAATCTCTAAGTCGATTTAACGATGCCCTTCCCTGTTCGTGTGGCAAAGCATTGTATGTCCACGTTTTGGTGTAGTCCCCAAATAAAGGTACCTCCCGATATTCTGTATTTTGATTATTTTTTCCACATTTTTTCACGGATTTGTCTAAAAATTGGTATTTGTTGGTCATAATGGGTTCCAGCTCCGCTGGCGAAACATTGTATGGGTCCACGATTTGGTATAGTCCCCATATAACGGCACCTCCCGATATTCGGTATTTTGATAGTTTTTACCACATTTTTTCACTGAGTTTGGCTCAGCCGAACTTAATGTTTTTTTTTTTTTTTTTGTTTCTTTTTATCTAAATGTTCGATTTTCTTGTAATTGTGTCCATACCAATATTTTTATCTGTATTAGATGAAGTATTGAAATGGAATACTTCTGTGGAATTTTTTTAAAAATGATCACATATCTCCATTCCTTTGGTACCTAGAAGAATTTGAACAATCATAACAGAAGTCAAAATATATTTAAATAATCCAACATTATTGAAATATATTGAAATAATCGGCTAAATCGACTGATACTTTTTAACTTGTTTTAAAAATATTTGTAGCTGGTTTAGATAGTCGTTGACAAAAATTTCAAAAAAAAACCTTATTTTAGGCTTAGATACTCCTTGAAAGATTATTGAAATAATGAGGTTGAATTATTGAATATTTGAAAATGGCCGTAACACCTTAAATATTGACATTTCGGTGTTTTTAGTTATTATTTGTGGTCAATTTTTTGAGGTTGAATTATTGAATATTTTAAAATGGCCGTAACTCCTTAAATTTTGACTTTTTAACGTTTCGGCGTTTTTAGCTATTATTTGTGACCACTTTTTTGAGGTTGAATTATTGAATATGTTAAAATGGCCATAACTCCTTAAATATTGACTTTTCGGCGTAAAATATTTTATCAACATTCTTAAAAATCCACATTAATTTTACACCCTCCACCTTAGTATGGGGGGTATCCTAATATTCTATGTCGATTTAGGGATGTTAGTTCGTCTGTCTGTCTGTGTGACTCGGAAAATCCAAGATAAAATCATCAACCCACGTATATTTTCAGGTAGTCCTTGAAAGATCTCCTTAAAAATGTGCATGGATGGATCAAGTGGTCCTTGAGAAATATTATTCTAAGGTCCAAGTTTTTAAATTTAAATATTTTTTAAAAAACTTTCTTAAAAATCACTTCGTTGACCCAAGTAGTCCATGGAAAAATATTCCTCTAAAAACATAGTGCTATGCTTGATATTGTCATTCCATTAACTCAGCTCACTAAGCTTTGGCCTGGTAAATATATCCAGCGGAAATTACTTAACTGCGATATTCCAAAAATCCCGTTTCCTATTATTTCCTCGCTGGTTGAGGAATTTCGGCAACGAAAACTGATTCAGAGGAGGAGATGTTGCAAAATGCATCAGTGTACCACCATTAGGTATTCCACCAATTTGTCTATCTGCAATGCTTGTGCTTTGCTTTGTGCCCAAGGTATATTTTCCAAGAATAACCTTTCCAGCAAACTGCAGTAACTCTTCAGCAGACTATCAAATTAGGTAATTACCATTGTTGGGCGTTTGCAAAGTGATGATAGCTTCTTGCTTGGCAAATTCTGTTTGGCAACCTTTTATGAGAAATTCTTGGAAATTAACAATGTCATGAACAACAGCAACAGTTTCCACCACCTAATTTAATGGAGATTTTTTTGGGGAATATTTCATTTCCTTGCGACTTGTTAGTGTTGGTTAACAAAGCTACTGTTCAGAGCAGCATCAAACGGGGTATGGAGGTGATGTTGAAATTGTCTGCTGTGATTATGGGTTTTATTTACTCTACTCGCCATTACTGAAGAGGAAATTTCTTCGGCCAACAGTTTTAAATGAAAGTAAATACTTTAATATATTTTTGTAGTTAACAGCCAGGGAATGATATCAAAAATTTTGATTGAGGTGCCTCAAGTTGTATGCAAAAAAAAAAAAAAAAAAAATACGTTGATGGCTCTGATGCTTGAAAGATATTCGTAAGGGTATACATTTTTGGCTCTTAAGAGGTTAACCTTCCACATTCTCTAAAAGAACGAACTTTGATTTATGTGGCCCATCAAAAAATCGTCGAAATATTGAAAAATATTTAAAAAAATCTTTGTCAATTCTTTACAAATTAAACCAAGTAAAAAAGCAGTAAGTTCGGCCGGGCCGAACTTTGAATACTCTCCACCATTTGGAACAAATTTGAAAATTTTCGAAAAAGAAAAATTCTGTTAACATTTTAAAAATACCGTGCACCTACATAGGCATTGTTTGTCACAAGCCATTACCATATTCAAATTACGAACTTCAAATACGACATCTCAAAAAATTTCGGCGAATATTGTACCTAAAATCGTCAAAATACCGAATATAAGGAGGTACTGATATATGGGGCCTACACGATGATCTGGAACTGCAATTTTC